CACAAGAGTTTACCGTCATCTTTTCTTTTGGTCACGCTTCAATATCTTATCCATTTTTGCATTCAGCTCTTGGATGGCATGATGAGATTCATCATTGTTTTTCCTTGTAGTCCGATCATAATCCGAGCCATGACTCCCATTGCTTTATGCGAGATTCTCTACCAAAGTATAAGTATCGGCTTCCTCAATTGTTTGACTCATGAAGCTTCTCGTAGACACCAGAGCTCTGGAGAGGTTTAAATAACTCGACTGAAAGGAAAGGAACGAAGTCACATCTCTCGCCCAAGTTCAGCAGACTCAATCGCACCCTTCCTTCGTCGTATAAAAGATAGTTCCGATCGTTGAGTTTAATGGAGACACAACTAGTAATATTGATATTGGAAGGAAAAGGATAAGACTTAAGAGAACCCTCCATGGCTCTTGATACCATGTGAGTGTTCATGGGCTTCCAACTAAAAACCAATTGGCAATGAGTGGAGAGGCCCATGTCCTTTATATACTAGTGTAGGTCCCTTCTCACTTTCAATTAGGGATTCCTAACAAAGGGAAGTCTGGATACTTGACACAGGTTGTTCTTTCGGAAGAAGAGAATGGTTTGTAAGTTTATCAGATGCTGGTAGTGAAACAAGTAAAGATGGCAAATGACACCATGTCAACAGTAAAGGGAATAGGAAGTGTGAGACTGAGAAATGAAGATGGTTCTACTGTTTTGCTGACAAAGGTGAGATATGTCCCCAGGGTGAGAGCATTACTAATCGGGGAAGTTTTAACTAGCTGGAGAGTAAGGATCTCTTCTCGAAAGCTATTATCAACGTTCAGCGATTGAATTACCTTCAGTAAATCTAACCAGCTAAGCTACCCTTTATAATTAAGTTAAGAAAGGGCAGTTCTGTCGATTCCCAATCTCGAAACTGAGAGTGTGCGAAGTCACAAGCTGATGGGCTATATGTGAAGTTAAAAAACCCAGTTAAGAAAGGAAAGATATAGCTATCAAGCTGAAACTTGAACAGAAATTTCCCTAGCTTTTCACCTTTCTCGTTAGTACACTATCTTTCACCCTTCCACATCTTCTCTTTATTATTGGATGGTTTATGGTCAAAAAGCTTAGGCTGTGTATCCTCAGCTGTTGTCTGTTCAGTATTCTCACTGGCATCTCCGTCTGTGATAACATCTACTTATCTCCTTTCACTCTCTCCTTCTCCTCTCCTTCTTCCAATCCCGTAGAGAGGCCTGGAAAAATTTATTGAAAATAACAAGACGATTGACATCTTAAATAAAGACATCATGCCCTAGATGCGAAGGTTAGTAAGAGACCCAAGTGAATTCTGCGAAGATAGAAGAGCGGACTTCTGAGGAGACTGGAAGCCTATAAATAATAGGAATGGCGAACTGGAACCTCATCCTTCAAAGGGTTGGTGTATATTTGTCCTATTCGTAAAGACCCCGACCTTGCGTCAGGAAAAGTGGAAAAACCCCTAAGACTCTACGGGCTAGCCGGGCCTAAAGAAGCTTATAAAATTCCACCTATGTAATGACTCGCATTCAACAACTAAGAGTCTTCCTTGCTTTCGTCACAAATCCCATCGCTCGAAAGAAAGAGGGTTTGGAGTTAGTTACAAGCTGGACTAAGACTGAAATGAAGGAACCAGATGGAGGCTGATGCAACGGATAGGAGTTATGCTTTTTGGAAATGAGGATTAGCAATCATTCGACAGTTGGGATGCCGCTTTCACTAGTAAAAGATATCCACGCAAGGAAAGAAAATGCCCCGCCGGAAGAAAAGTAATTAAGTTAAAGAGTGTCGGTTTGGGGTGAGGCTTACTCCTCGACCAAAAGAATTGAAAAAAAGCAAGACTAACAAGTAGAGGTGGTTTTTTTCCTAAGCCAAAGAAGGGTTTGATTCCACCTCAACTGAAAGAGAGTCAGTAGCAGAACTTAACTAAGCAGCTGCAGAGTTTCGCTCAGTCTAATCTAAGTAGCTAGGCTAAGAGTCAGACAGTAGGCTTCCGGTAGGGACAGGGATCGGGTGGCCTGAATGGCTCAACTAATTAGTAGAGGAGGAACTTGAGTTACTCGACCACTCGGAAGAGGAACGAAGGTACTCGACCAAAAGAAAAGGTTAGAACCTGCTCGGCCGACTAAAGCTAAAGGGATAGGGGAAAGAAAACTGCTTGAATAACTAGTGGGTTACTACTCGATCGACTAAAACAGAAGTCAGGGAAAAAAACCACCATCATACTGTCTTTTCCCTTAAAGAAAGTAAGGCATCCCAAGGCAGGGAAGGAATCTGAACCAAGGAAGGATTCTGCTGGAGCTGCAGTCTCGGAGTTTAAAACTGACCTTTAGGCACTGACGTGACTCTTCCACTTGTTGATGAGGAGAGGGATTGATTACTCGACTAAAAGGAGAGGGTAGCAGAATACCATTAATAAAAATATCCCATTAGTGCTGCTCTTTCCTAAGTAAAATACCTAACAACGAGAATCAGGAGGGAGCTTCTGGGTAGCATCAGGAGACTTACTTACTAGAAACTAATAAAATAGTGAAGGTTGTAGAGAAGGGTTCTTATAAGATAAAGGTACAGTAGCTCGTATCGAAGAATATTCCCGAGATGTGAATCTCACTAAAGCATTTCAAATAAAGAGAGGGGCCAAGCTTAAGAATTCGCTTTCCAGGACGTACTCAGGGCAGGGAGACAGGGCGCAACAATTGTGACTGGCCATTTTGATCGATGAGGGAAGGCAAGGCCTTAACCAAGAGTCATCGCATTCGTCGCACCAATCATAGATAGAACCCGATCCTTGGATAGAATCCATAATCAGAAGTTATCGGTACCCTTAGCATCTTCCCTTTGATTAGAATGTGAAGGTCCTTGGTTCGGGCAAGCAGCGTATTTAGAAGCCTGCTACCGAAATGGAATTCCTCGGTCGATAACTTTCATGATAAAGCAGAATTCCGTTGGACCAATTAAGTACCTTCTCGTTTCAGTCGAGTCACTGAGCGCCCACCGGGTTGATTGAAAGTGCCCCTACGGACTGGGACACCTTCTTCCAGAGCATTCTCACCATCTGTACTAGCCTTGCATGAAAAAAGGATGAACCATGAAGAATTCTCCACTCTATGAACTCATAGCGCTCTTGGGATGGGCATGTGTCTTGCAGTAGGTAAAAGTTAAAGAATAAATAAGCACGAGGGAGATGCTAGGCTGATCAAAAGAAGAAGGATTAGCGAGAAGTATATCTAACTTTCTTCTCCAATTGCAATTGACTGATTATAGATTTTCTATATTCTTTTTCTATTTTCCTAGCGAACTAGCAGCTCCCCCGCCCTACACAGGATTGGATACTGAACCTGATCAGATAGACCGATCGGTGCGTAAGATGATAGTGACGCACTAGGTTTGATTTGATCTCGCTACCTACTATGTATACTGTTATAGCTCTTCTTCTACCTCTATCTACTGAGGATATTGGAGCACTAACCCGCAACTTTCATCTACGCTAACAGCTCTCTTCTCTTAATCCGCCTTCGATTATTCATTAGCGCTCCGCGGGTCCTCCTGCTACTCAAACAGCTTTCTTTAGGAAATGCCGACATCTACTACTAATGGCTTGACATTCCAGAACAGGAAGTCATTTGAATGCCCGAAGTCTGCATCTTCTATTACATCTCCGAAAGAGTGAAAAGTCCCCTTCTTGCCTGATGAGTTCTTCTTTCTTTTCTTGCTCCTCACAGTCAAGATCCCGCAAATTCTGACTGACTTGAAATTAATAGTCGTTTTATCTGATGATATGAGATGACGAGCGTCAGACAGAGAAAGATCAAAAAGTCTAGTCAAGAAGCTTAACGGTGAAGATGGAGAATGAATTGAATCTTTCACCCACCTCAGTCCAACTAGCACTCTTGTGCCTCATCGATCTGCCTTCTCACTCCAGGAGAGCCATTTCGCCATTCAAAAAGAACTGTACACGCGCGTATGGATCATCCATCAGAATCAATCAGTCTTTCAGAGTAGTCATCAAGCAAGCTATAGAAGTACGTGTGAGGAAAGAGAAAGAAGTGAGTTGAGTGACTTGTGACCATCCTTATAATTTCGAATTGCATAAAAGGAGTCAGTCACTGACGCCGCTCCCAGAATCTTAGGTTGATTTCTTTTCGTTTTAGGTAAAATAACCAAGGTTCTAAAAAGCTATGGGGGGCCCTCATAAATCCACCACTTATCAGACTGCGAATGCTAACAGTATCGAAGCGCACCAAGAGATTCCCGGTCGAACAAATTTCGTATAGAAAAAAAAGATGTGTTTTGTCGAGTTTGCTTCGTCCTCTTTTTTTTTCTTATTTTCCTTCCTTTAGGCGCTTGCTCTCAAAAAAAAGGGAAAGGGGTCAAATAAAAAGCTACCTTTTATCAAGGCTAATTCCAACGGACTTCGCCCAGATCTTCATTCAATGGGACGACGTCAGTGCATCTTTCTGGATGATGAACGCCTGTCTCGCTCATAGATAGAGGAAGAGTACGCGCGCTAGCGCGCTACGGCTTACGAAGTTGATCGGGTCAGATAGCCCCCTTCGGGCAACCAACCGCACAAAAAATTCCGATCAACAACTTGGAGGGATGGCTGAGTGGCTTAAGGCATTGGTTTGCTAAATCGACATACAAGAAGATTGTATCATGGGTTCGAATCCCATTTCCTCCGGCGCGGAAGTGAAACGGGCGGGCGAAATGAGAAGAGCACTACTTAGTGACTAGGAGCGGGGAGCCCGTTGCGCGTTTTTTTGTTTGACCGGCCTATCTTCATAAGTAAGCTCCCTATGGCCGTCCAGTCCCTGGGCGGCTCTCGGTTCTTGAGCATGTTGGGAGATTAGTCGTCAATTGAAAGAGCTGCTCTAAAGCTTGACGAAGAAGTTTTCCCTATTAATTAGATTAGTAAAGGGCTTTTCCCTTACTAGTCAAGTGGTAAGGTAGGGCGCTCTTCGATGAAGAAAAGAAGAGACTTTTGGAAAAGTGGTTCAGCTCAGCTGGTTAGAGCAAAGGACTGTAAATCCTTGTGTCAGTGGTTCGAATCCACAACCACTTCTATTCTCGGAGCTGAGGTATATGAAGAATGGCCTTTTGGTCCCTTTCGTCCAGTGGTTAGGACATCGTCTTTTCATGTCGAAGACACGGGTTCGATTCCCGTAAGGGATAGGTACTCATTCTCGGCCGCTTTCAGTTAGTGTTCATTGCTGAGGGATCCCGAGATCTCGAAGCAGATGACCAAGTGAGCTCCGCAGCCGTTAGTGCAAGGGCTCGATATTCCGTTTCCGTAGAAGAACGAGACACTGTAGGCTGGCGTTTTGCGGACCAGGAGATAATATTGCATCCGAGAAACGTACAGAATCCAGTTGTAGACCTCCTCGTGGATGTACATCCTGCCCAGTCACTATCACAGAAGGCCTGAACATTGAGCTTGCTGTTTTTGTGAATATACAGCCCATGAAAGATGGTGCCTTTAACATAGCGAAGGACACGCTTCAGGAGATCAAAATCAGCGAGTGTAGGCTCATGCATTCGCTGACAGACAATGTTCACGGCATAACTTATGTCTGGTCGAGTGAGAGTTAAGTATTGGAGAGCACCTACAATGCTGCGAAAGTCTGAAGGATCCGGATACTTAGCAGTGGAAACAGAGGAGTTGAGCTTAAGGGGCAGAGGAGTAGACATAGGTTTGCAATCTAACATCCCTGCATTGTTCAGAATCTGTTCAGCATACTTGGTTTGGGATAGAAACAGACCCGAAGGATGAGTTTTGATCTGAATTCCCAGAAAATAGTGGACTGGTCCAAGGTCTTTCATTGAGAAGGTGGAGCTGAGCTGAAAGATCAACATATTGAGCAGAGTGTTGGAACTGCCCGTGAGAAGAATATCATCCACGTAGAGAAGCAGATACATGACATCAGAATTGTTGTGATACGTGAACAGAGAAGGATCAGCTGAGCTGCAGACAAACCCAAACTCCAGAAGAAAATCGAAAATCGCTAAACTTGTCGAACCAAGCACGAGGCGCCTGTTTCAATCCGTAGAGAGCCTTTTTCAACAGACACACATGGGATGGATGAATAGGATTCGTAAAACCAGGAGATTGATGCATATAAACTTTTTCTTGAAGATACCCATGGAGAAATGCATTTTGAACATCCAATTGATTGATTGGCCAACCTCTAACTGTTGTGCAACATTCAAGATAGTACGAATAGTGGCTGTCCTCACAACCGGACTGTAGGTCTCAACAAAGTAAATACCTTCTTCTTGATGAAACCCTTTAGCAACCAAGCGAGCCTTTAGGCGATCAAGAGTACCATCAGAATGTAATTTGGTTTTGAAGACCCATTTACAACCAAGAATATTCTGATTAACTGGAGGTGGAACAAGTATCCAAGTCTTGTTCCGAGAGAGAGCATCAAGTTCTTCCTGCATTGCTTGACACCATCCTGGATCCTTAAGGGCAAAAATAACAGATTTTGGTTCTTTTTTAATAGTGGTAGTAATAGTGAGACTATACTTGGGATTTAGTTTGTTTATGCCAGCCTTTGATCTGGTAAGCATGGGGTGAGAGGAGTGGTTTTGAGGTAGTGGAAGAACTGTAGATGAAGAAAGCGGTATTTGAGAGGGAAGTAGAAGAACATGGAGAGGAAGGTGGGTCTGGTTCTCTGTTTAGTAAAGAAGAAGGTGGGTTAGGGGAAGGTGGATTAGGTCAGTTGGTTAGGGATGTGAGGAAAGGAAGGGAAGGTTGGGCCAGGCAAGCTAGGGAAGTTGAGAAGGTTGGGCTAGGGAAGTTGGGAGTTGGTGTTTCCCTTGTTCCCAGTTGCTAGTGCCTGTGTAGCTTGTTCCCTTGTTCCCTTGTTCCCTGTAGCTAGTCCCCTGTTGTTAGGAATGGGACTAAAGAGCTCTAACAGAAGAGCGGCAAGAGCTTCTCTGAAAAGACCTGTTCTCTTATCGCTTTGAACATTCTCCTGGGTTCCTAGCCCAAAGAAAAAGACAAGGCTGAGTTGCCCCTTCTACCATCTGAGGTGGAATACGGATCAAGATTTGCTGAGTTTGTTCTATGGAATAGGCCAGGCCCTCTCACTCTATCTCATGTCGGAGAAGATTATGTATGAATTTGAATACCCACGAACGTCTAAGAGGTCAGCTACTTAGTTGATTTTATTTAAGGTATCTCTTGATCGAAGGGTTCAAGCCGCTAAAGCGGAAAGATATATCTCTTCGCCTGAAGCGTTGTGGATTTAGGCGTGTCACGCCAACCTTCTGTAAGTTCCTGGATAATCGTTCCCGGATAATGCCTGCCGCAGGGACTAACCCTATCTTCGCGCATACTTCCTTGTTTGTCTGGGAGTTGAATCAGAAGCATCGAATGAAAGCTTCTTTACAGGACCTCTTCTATTTCCCTCCATTCTTCTTCCTAGTGACCTAGGAGTTGGGTTCGTGACATTTTTTCTTTCTGCTTATTCAAGTAGCCCGGTCTGGTAAGTAAGGACTTTGCTCTCAGTAGAAGTCAAAAAGCCTTCAACAAGACCACATC